ACCTCAAAGGCCTCACAGACCACATCAGACCTCACAGACCTCAAAGACCTCACAGACCTCAAAGGCCTCACAGACCACATCAGACCTCACAGACCACATCAGATCACAAACATGTGTGAACACTCATTGTCTCTTTACACAGAATCAGGAAGTGATGTGTTTTATTCTTTTATTGTGAAACTTGAAAAGATAAAAGATTCCAAACAAACATCAGGTGGGTGTGGCTATACGTAAAGAAGGCGGGGTTTATAAACAACTGTTCTTATTTGGTGTTTTGGTTTCAGATCATAAAAAATCAGTTTAAAAAACAAATGATTACAAACAGAAAAGTTGTCGATCATCCCCAGAACCTCTGTCTGCCGGAGGGCGGTGTCAGCGTCTCAGGAGGAGGCAGGAGGCTGAAAATGGAACCTGCCGCCTCCACCGTGAAGATGAAGTAGATGTTGGCGACCATCATGGCAAGACTCGGCAGGAAAGAGAGGCCAAAACCAAAACCACGAACACTGCTCCCAAAAGCAGCAGCCACCCAGTAAATAAGCCTGAGACACAAATCAATCGCAATTGAAATGACCAGGTGAAATCCGCCTGAGACGTAAATCATTCGCTCCTCTCAATGTTTAAAAACGTGTCACATGACTTACCGTCCAAAGGCAAAGACGACCGTCAGCAGGGGGACAAGCTTCAGATGTTCTTGGCTCAGGTACATTGCCATGACAACCAGCTGCAGGAAGTAGATCAGGAACAAGGAGGTGGAGTCAGAGACAAAGCGGTAGTGGATGGTGACATCATAAAGCTCCGCCTCCTTCGTCTCATCATCAAACAGAGGCCGCAACACGCCCGAGCGGAGCCGAGTGACGCCCAGGACCAACCAACCTGAGACGGACAGGTGAGAGACGGATGGGTGAGACGAATGCTATGGAGACACCCACTGACAGAAGATGTCCGTTGGACTCACCGAGGACGATGGGTGTGGCTGCAAACACCGAGCAGCGCAATGTGTAGACGAGCCTCAAGGGGGCGCCATCCAGCAAGGGGGCGTCAAACGGCAGGAACACAAATCCCCCCCACACCAGGAAGGGGAAGAAGAGCGCTGAGGTCACCAAGGATACACCCATCTTCAGGATGTCTCTACTGGGACAGCCCCGCCCACCTGAGATACAGACAAGTTATAGGTGAAGGGGAGAGGAGGTGAGACAGGTGAGTAAACGTCTCACTTACATCTGGCAGGGGACGTGTCTTTGGTCCACTCGTACTGGCAGCCATGTTGGTTGTAGTCCTGCGACGCTCTTCTGGGACCCAGGAAGGGACTCTTCTCTGACTCCATATCCCAGAATGCCTCACTCTGTCTGGGTGAGGACAGGGAGGGTAGGACGGTCACTGCAGGACTAAACACCTGAGCAGCTTTTTCTGGGAGGTGATTCTCTGTAGGCTCCACCTCCTTTTCCAGGTATGTCGTCAACCCCTCCCACTCTCCAACTGATCCCGACCTCCTACGCCTATCTGCCATCAGCTCTCTCTCACTTTCTGTCCAACTTGTCTCCTCGCTTGACCTCACACTCATCCTGTCCCTTTTACCCGTCTGTCCTTCACCCATCTTACCACCCGTCTGTCCACCTGTCTGTCCTTCACCTGTCTTTCCACCTATCTGTCTGTCTCCAGGCCACTGCAGCGTGCTAGACTCCGTCATTGATGATGTCACCACCTCGTCCTCTCCCTCAGTGTGTCTTCTCATTCTCTGTCTTCTGTCCAGTTTCCTGTGTGGACAGTTCATCAATATAAATGTGTTTTTGGTTTTACTGAGATTAGACTTATAATAAATAAATTAAATCATTTAATCATAGACTCATCATGTTTGTTTATCTACACCTACAGAACTAAGAAGCAGGATTTGTGGTTATCAGGTTAACTTCAGGTTTAATTCAGAGTTTTCAGTTCTACGAAGCTCGTTCACTTCTTATCGAGGTAAATCACCATGGTAACTAGAAGCAGCATCAACACATGCACCTCCTCTGGAGATAATACTGAGGATCTGCAGAGTTCTGCAGAGTTCAGTGTGAAAGCCGTGCACAACCAAACATAAACTGTGAGGGCTGCTGATGTTGCTCAGGTCAAAAATTTAGCTAAAACACTCAGTAAATTAGATTTAGCCACGGAAACTAAAACAAACACTAAAACCAAACAGGAAATGTTAAAAGAATGTTTTAGCAATTTATGCTACAAGTGGAAGGAGAGCTGCTGACCAACACGTTTCTCAATTTGTGCTTCTTCTTCTCTGGATCATCAGTTTTCTGAACCTCAATATTCTGATCTAAAAAAACGACTGTGTCAAATATGAATGATTTTCCATCAAACCTATCAAGTTCCAATTACAAAATACTATTTTGTATTTGAAATATGTATTTGAAATACATGTATTTATGATACATGTATCATAAATACATGTATCATAAGCACTGCCCATCCCTGAGTTTTACTATAAAAACATGGACACAGTCCCAGATGTGTTACCAGATGTTCTTCCTGCATTTAGCAGCTGGAACTGTTTCTTTTGTTTTCTTATGCAGTTTGATCCTCAGCTCTGCTGTCAGTCAAACTGTCCATGTCTGTGATTGGTCATATGCAGTAAACCCCGCCCCTTCAATGTGCTCATATCTCCAGTGTGTGAGATTCAGGTGAGAGGATCTATCGGCAGAAACTTAATGAAGAATAATCCTCATGATGTTTTCACGAGTTCGCTTCACCTAAATTGTTTAAATTGTTGTTTTCTTTACCCCAGAAAAT